CCTTGCCACTAGGCTTTGGAGAAGTTTGTAACATTCACCTCCTCTTTTCTGTAATTGGCAGTACTGATGTAACAATTAGAGGCCTAGTCGTACTACAGGACTGGAATAATGGATTGGAAGGGCTGCATCTTGAGTAGCCTGGGATTACAGTAATGTGTTCCAAACCTAGTCCTTTATTAAAATCAAAGAAAATATAAATCGGAGGAAATCAAACATTGCATTGCTGGGTTTGCATTTGTTGATTTGTTTTTGTTCTCAATCCAGTGTTCTAGGTTTTTTTAATTAACATTGTTTTGTCAGCTCTATTACCCTGCAACTCACAACTGACAACCCACTGAAGCTAAGCAGGTGTAAGCCTGGCCAGTACTTGGATGTGAGACCTCCTGGGAAAAACTAAGGATGCTTCTGGGAGTGGTGTTAGTGGGGCCAGTAGGGGGTGCTCACCCTGCAGTCTGTGTGGGTCCTAATGCTCCAGTATAGTGACAGGGACACTATACTGTAAAAAGACACCGTCCTTCGGGTGAGACTCTCTGTGGTCATTAAAAATACCCGTCGTGTACTAAAAAAAGTAGGGGTGTTTACCCCAGTGTCCTGGCCAAGTTTCCTATTGCCCTTTGCTAATCATGGCTTCCTAATAATCCCCCTCTATGAATTGGCTTCCTCACACTGTTCTCCTCCCCACACATAGTTGGTTGTTGGTGAGCGTACTGGTGCACTAAGGCTGCCGTCGCATCATCCAGGTGGGGCTGCACATTGGTGGTGTTAGAGTGGAGTCCCCATTACCTGTAAAGTTCTTTAAGTGCAATGTCCACAAAAGTGTTATATATATAAATATATAATATTATATATATATAATCATCATCAATTGAACCATTCTATACAGGTTTTAAACTATTGATGATTTAATATTAAGATAACCCATGAAGATCAAGGCTGGAGACCTATGGACTACAAGGTGATAAAAACATTCATTAAGAAGAAATTGAATTATACCGCAGGTTAAGAAAAGCTCTGTGATTTAATAAATAAAAAGTTACAGAAGATAGCAATGTATGGAAAGTTTTATCTACTAACCCTGATTTTTGATTCCAACAGAATTCTTAATTAGGCTATTTAAATAATTAAAATAATCTGTGTAATTTTAAATTAGAATTACAAATTCTACATTCGTTTGGTGAAGCAGCTGAGAACACAGCTGGAAAATATAAGCAAACTATCCCAAGGATTGGTTTGGGAACATTCCCTAATGGCCTTTTGGAACTGTGTGTAATCCAGGCCTGCACTAAATCAGAACCCAGTTGATAATTACAAACCCCTTATTAGATAGGGTTTCCACTGGGTTGAAGCATGGAGCCTCTGGCAATCAGTAAACTAAATACTGGGTTTATAATTTACAAATACTGGTGGGTGGGTCAAACTCTCATGTTTACAATACAAATTCAACACTCATTCATATTTACATGACCTGTGTCCTGTGTCCTGCTGTGGACACAGCAACTATAACAAATCCAGGGAGCAAAGACATAGTGCTACTGCCAAACCAGTTCAACAAAAGAAGACAAAAAGACATTCTAAAAGGTCAGTTTAATATTTTTTAATTATTTAATTAACAGTTTTAATTACACTTATTTACTCCAAGTCATTAACCCGACTGAATTTAAATTACACAATTCATTACTTAAAAATGTTAAACTTATTATTTTTCCCAATTCTTTATGTCTTTAACATAGCTAGGTATAATATACCTACCTGTATACTGTATTTATAGGATCTGTCCTATGAATAAATGTTACTGCCCTAATTCACAATTGTATGTCTTACTCTAGCTATTTTAAAATCACTTTGTACTTATATAAACAGTTCTGTGTTTGAAAGTGATGTTCCATGTTATAAGAAAGGACATCAGGTGAGGTGGTGCAAAAAAAGCGATACATAACAAAACAGAGATTCACATACAGTAACTGGGTCAAAGGAAACGGTACACAGCAATGAATTGAATTCCTATTTTATAAATGAATGCTTTTCAAATCTGATTTTATGGCTTTTATACTACAAGGGAACAGAAAAAAGGTGAAGATGGAAATTTGAACAGGTGCTTCAACTGCTGTTTTGAGTCAGTACGTATTTCATTTCCTCAAACTTGGATATTAGCCACAAACACAATACCATTATTGAGACACTGTATAGAAATTCATTTGAGTCAAATGTGTTAGTGATGCCCCTGTGCGCAATATGCCCAGTTGTCAGTTCAGCCTGTAGAAAAGGAAAGGACAAGCCTTTTGAGCTATGTTTTTGTACACAAAAATAAAATATAACTAGACAGAAGTCCAATGAGCAACTGTAATGTCAATGACAGAAGGACACAGCATTTAAGCCAGCAAGATCTATTTCTAACAGCAATGGTAAGTTAACACATACAAACAAAACAGTTCAAATATTAAAACAACATACCGTACATGAAACTAGGAGATGTGCATAGTGCGGGAAGCTGAAAAATAATCTCTAATGTCAATGACATTTCGCTTAACCAGGCAGAACCAGAACCAGGGAGGAAAAAGACACCCCCCTTTTAGATCCTTGCACTGCTCAACTGAAAACCAGTATGCCAAAGTACAGCAGCTTGTCCCAGGGAATGAAAATCCAACTACTGTATGTGTCTGCTTCCTGCTCTGGAAAGGCTCAATTAGAAAATGTCTATACAGCTGCTTCTTATATTTAGGAGGTCTGGCCTTTGTATTTAATTAATCTACTGACAACAGTTGTCACAGGCTCTTGTCTATTCCCACACAGTCAGGGAGTGGACTTAGACCTGGAAAATAAATTAGGGGACAGCAATCTTCACATTGTTTTTCCTAGGTAGCCATCAATTAGAAGATTCAGGATTTGACAACTCTAGGGTGGGGACCATAGCTGGGAATGACAAAGCAAACAAAAAGACAGAGGAAATGAAATCCACCACACCCAACTCTTGCCAACCATCAAACTATACCACCTCTCATCTTTCATCTTTCAGTTAGCATACAGTTGAAGCAAAATACTTTTCCCGTTACATGATGTGTTTTCTTGGAGGAGCCTGACAAATCATAAGGCAAGCAAGCTAAAACTGACAGTCCCTGCTTCTTCAAGGAAGTTGTTGTAGACCAGTGTTTTAATCTTGGCACTTGGGGGAAAGTAGAAACTGGATTGAGCAGATTGGAAAATCTTGGAATAATCCAACCCTTGCACTTTTCAGAGTCCAGTTGTCAAACCAAACCAGATCATAATGGTTATGTGGTGACCAGAAATTAAGAGTAAACAATTTTTCATTCAAACCCAGTTTTCATGTTTGATGATCTCTTTGCTGACTTAGCATGAGGCAAGTTATATTCCAGGTCGGACATGAATCATGCCTACCAGCATCTGAAATTGGATGATTCATCGAGACACCATGTTACATTCAATACTTACAAGTTTTTACTTACAACTTACCTTGTGGCATATCATTGGCATGTATAATACGAACCATTGCAAATCTCTTACATGAAATTCTAGGTATGGTGGTTACATAGGCAATATGTGCTGCTCTCTCTATTTATCCTGTTGAACAACCACCCACTGCTGTGCCATCTACACTGTCTCATTGTCGTGTCTTGTTAAGACTATGTCCTGCACTATTGTCTGCACTTGACTCCTGCTCTCCCCCCCTGTATTTCAGAATGCTTGTTTACACATCACTACTTACACCTAAATACCTAATTCTTGATTTATTTATTTATCTATTTATCATCTACTCTTAACATTGTTTTTTTTACTTATATACCAATACTACCTCAATAATTGCTAATGATTCTCAGTCCCCCCCCCCTCGTGTGTGATCTTTTGTGTTGTACTGTGACATTATGCTGACTGTTTCTAGTGTATTGTGCATCTCTGGCCAGGAGAAACTATATTTCGTTCTCTCTTGTACATCTGTATAAGTGAAGAATGACAATAAAGTGAATTGAACGGAACTGAAGTAATCCATTTGAAAAAGGATGGTACTTTTTTATGTCATCCTGTTTAGTTTCATGTTTTTATTGCACAGGCGAGAGATGGATAAGAACAAGGTGACAGGAACTTGTTTAAATAAAATTAACGAATGGAGTTGACACAGGGTGGTACTGTACACTGGTGGTACTGTGCTCATAGGCTGTCAATGTCAAAGCCCACTGTTATTATACGTTTGTGTGGAGGTATAGGATAAGACTTTATTGATCCCAAAGGGAAATTGATTAATTCTACTCCTCACTGAACACTCTTGGTTGGTGTCTTATGATTCACAACTATTGTATAAGGATCTGTGTGGGACTGATGAAATTTCATCATAGCAAGCACAATACAGAGAGCTGCTTTCTGTCCTTTCTGGGCCAGATGGAACTGTTAATATTTGATAAATATGAATAACATTATATTGTGAGTCTTAACAACTTTTGTAAACTTTCTGCATACTACTTATGTTTTTAATGTATCTTCTGTGGAAGAGGAATAAAAGAAAGTTCCTTAATTAAATTTCACCAGGTCACATGTAGAATACTAATGGTTATTTTCTCTATAAAGACAAAAATAAAGAGAATGGACTATGAGATCAGACAGTCATATACAGAGGAATGAAGATGAGCTATTGGCTGAATTTAATATAGGTCTACTAAGGCCTACTAAGCTTTCACAATACTATGTAATGAAAGCTCAAAGCTTTATCAGAAAACAAAAGTTAAAACAGCTGTGAGTAGTTCTTAAAAACGTAATATACTCACATCTAAAGTGGGAGGTGTAGTGTACAAATATCACTGAAATAGATTTAGATAAATATTAAGTAAAATTAAAGTAGTTATCAGACATTAGTTCAAGCATGTATTTAAAGGATCATGAAATTTTTACTTTAACCTTAAAGTGAGGAGGAGAAGAAATATCTAGGGTGCTGTTTTGTTTGGAAGCAGTCAGGGTTAAATAAAAACAATGACCTATCCACCAATTACAGATCCCAAACATGGGGTCTGATGGAGGCTCTCTGTGAAGAAGATCCAGTTGAAGAGTTGTCATCACGTTCTGGATGTAGAATTTGTCATGTGTGGGTGAGATACCATTTTGACTTGGTCCTAGCAGTACAATTTAGACATGACCTTTAAATAAAAAAAAAAACGAGAATAACAACTAATTCATTTACAGTATATTGTTGCAATGTATTTTTTATGAAATAATTATATATCAGCTCAATAGTAGGGATTAATTGCAGTTCAGAAGAATGTTACTGAACTGTACATTAATGCATAAAGTAACACACACCCAGCATCTAAAGGTGTGTCCATTGTATGTCATCTACTGTCTCCAGATAGAGGTGAGCTACATGCAATGCAGGGTTGCTTTGCATTATTGAAATGCATTCTTTCTACTAGCAAGATGTTATCAATGCACTCACATTCTAATTGCATTGCATACTGTACGCCCACAGCACACAACCATTACTGTTCAACGCCCTGGTCCAAAATAAATACAAATAACTACTGTTACTAAGAGCAAACCATACTCGAGGAACCCCAGAAAGCAAAAAAAAAAGTTTTGGTTAAAGTGTTTGGACTAAACATCACAGGGATTCCTTCTAGTTGGTGGATCGATTTTCCAGATACAGTTCAATGTTCAAGTGGACCCCTAAATTCTCCCTACTTTCTGGAAGAAATTGTATCTTATTCAAAAGTCTCAAATCTAGATAGAGAAGGCATAAATGCAGCAAAATGTTAAGAAGGTGTTTGGTGGAAGAAAAGAGAGGGAACAAGTTTTTTCCAAGAGTAAAAATCTTTCAAAATCCATCAATCCATCTTCTAGCAGGTACGCCAGAGTCTATCCTGGCAAACAATTGGTGCAAGGTGGGGTACACCCTGGATGGGACACCAGTCCATCTCAGGGCACACACAGATACAAACACGACCACACTCACATCAGGGCCAGTTTTCCCAGAAGCCAATTAACCTACCAGTACCAGAACTCCAGAGGACACCAGCGTACCCCAAAAAAATTGGATTGTTAACATGAAAAGAATTTCTGGAGGACAAAAAACGTCCAAAACTTGTCAGTGATTGCAGGTTGAAATGCTGCCCTGGAAACATTTTGGATGTAGCACATCATGCAAAAGTGTTCAGTACATAAGCTGGTGTGTTACTAGGTAGACATTAGAAATACATTGTGACATGCAATATATTGTAACATACAGTATTTCTAATTTGGTTTACCTTTGTTGTTACATATTATGCAATCTTTATTGAAACATTTTAATTGTTATTGAAATACACTGACAACAACTGAAAACCTACATACTGTATTATATTTTCTTTAGAGTAGCATTATAAAATATACATTTGCTAAAAGAAATGTTCTCAAAATTGAAAAATGTTTTTTTTTTTCAATTTTCTATATTCTTTCACTATCGAATGTGTATTATTGTGTTTAAGAAGGTATGGTACTTTTGAGCAGTGTTGCCTAGAATACATCAGTTCAGAATATTTTAGTCTGAATTCTTCTCAGAGTTCTTAAGGTCTTATCTGAAGTATAAATGACTTGCTATATAAATGGGTCTCTAGGTTCTCATTTTAAAATAATTTGTTCTCAATAAAGGATTGAATAAAAGTAATACTAGATGGATCAGAACTGAAAAAAGTCACAGAATTCCTGTAGTTAGGTAATACTAACAATATGATCATAATTAAGCGGGTATTAAGTCCACGCCTTGAAAAAAAAATGTTCTGCTAAGGGAAGGTTACTTGACTGAAAATAAAGCAGTGAAGTAGTGATATGTTAGAATGTGGATAGATGTGAAACCTGTTGTGGAAGAGAACATTTTAGAATGGTAAATAATAGACATTTATTCTGAAGGCTCTCTTTCCCTGACATTGATCTCTAAAACATATTTTTTTGTCCAGAACCTTGGTATTTCCTTTTATTTAGCAAAGGAAATATCCAGCTATTACAGCAACCTCCTTGTTTAAGGAGCAGGTAATGACCACAAAAACACATTGTATCATAAAATTCCCTTCTGCTTATGATATTTACAGACAGAAGGAAAACATAATATAGGGATCTATCTCAGATAATGTTCTTTTTGATTTTTGAAAACAAACAGGAAATAGTATTAACAATCAGACCAGGTAAAATAACAGAAACATGTTCTTTAATTAAATAAGATTTGGCTAATGATATATTGTCACAACAACAGAGAGGACAAGACAGAAAATTGGAGAAAAAGAATGGTGAATAATAGGACAATCTTCTGGAAGACAAGAATTTTGAGGTCTCTTTGTCCAAAGGTTTGTATTTTCACCTGCTTCTGATCAAGAAACTGAGAAAATATCAGAAACAAGAAGAGGGTATTTGACTGATGAAGTCTGATCTTACTTCTTTGGTACTGAAGGTAGATGTTTACTGAGATGATAATCTTCTATATTAAAAGAAACAGGTATTTCTTGAAAAGTCTACGTATAGTTTTCACCACTGGTTTCAACCACATTCTGTTTAAGCTTCCTTACATTGTTTGAGCTTTAAACTAATCTTTTGCTTTACCTTTTTGCAGTGAGTTCAGGATTTTTAATAATTGGATCAAATATCCTCCCTATCAACTCTATTCAAGGACTAAACAGGGACTTTTCTTTTAACCTCAGTCTGTAACAAGCTATCAGAAAAGGAACCAATCAGGTCACTCATCCTTGAACATTTTGTCTGTCACATTTGATATACAGTATACGGTCTATAAGAACCAGAACAGAAACATAGTCTTTGAAAAAACAAGACCCTACATTCTGAAAAAGATTTTTACTTTTTTACAGTTGTTTCCACCTTTCAGCAGAAATGCCAAGACTTTGTGGAAAATAAAACATACAGCCTCACAGAGCCAGCATGACTCTGTGCACCTCAAAATAATATACTGTAGTCAAGGTTAGTTTCCTACTGTAAAAAAGCACATGACGCTAATTATACAGGCTAGATTAATAGACATGGGATTGCAGGTTGGCAACTCATCTACTTTAAACTCTCCAGGAGCTTCTGAATATCTATAGCTCTCACACATTGTATATACCTATCATGTGTTTGTATCATAATTAAGGGTTTGGGAAGATTTAGAATTAAATTGGGGTTATATTTAGGGTTGACTAGGTGTGAGAAAGTATTGAGCTAATCTATGCCAACCATCCAAACCACCAGCATTGGGGGTGAAGGATAAAATTGGATTAAGTGAAAATCTGCCTCAGCACTGGATATGAAATCAACAAATGATTAAAAACAATTTAACATTATCCAAGAACTCTGAAGTTTGCTGTTTTGTGTGGTCATCATTTTCTTTCTGCTTTAAATATACAGATCTATACTAAAGCACCCCGACAAAGGTGAACAGGACAAAATCACAGAACAAACATGAATGTGCACCTGTGCATGTTCTTTGTGTGAAGTGTATATGCACTGTCAATGCATATGTTTTTGCACCAGGTCAAATTCCTAGTACATGTAATGTACTTAGCAAATAAAGTGATCCTTTACAGTGACTGGTGTTTTTGTTTGAGAATGAGCACTATATTACTGCATATTTCCATTCAGAAACAATACCTAATGATATGTATTATTTTTGGTAGTTAGTCTTTTTATGTTTCTTTACTAATTTGTAAGTGGTAAAACGTAATAAATGAAGCATTTCTGTGTTTTTCTCATCATACTCTTTTTTGTTAACTTATAACATACTAAGTGTCAAAGAAATATCACTCTAGGCTACGATTTTACCATGTTACAACAGGTAGGCTACAACAGTATACTTTATTAAATCATGAGATACTGCTAGAACTGTGTCAAATATAACATGTTTGATTATGTGTTAGGGGTTTTGATACTATTTAAAATGTAGTTTTAGTTGTATTCCCTTTTCTTAGAACCTGACAGAAGATAATATCTCTTTCCTTTTACAGACTCATTGACTCAAGCAATCCCAAAGCACTTCCACACACAGCTACAGGACTAAAGGACTTTATGACACACATGACCTGATACACAAGATTGTATGGGACAGTGGAGCTCTTAAACATTTATGCTGTGCTGATGTGATGGGGTCATACCAGGGCTACTGGCTTTGTCAAAGAGTTCTCACAGTGGGGTTAATTTGGAACTCATTACAACACATCCTGACCATTGTTCCCAATTTAAAAATACAAAGTACAAATACAAAGTACTAAAGAGAACATACTGTGTTTACAAATAAACACATTTATTCATTTGTGATTAACATATACAGTATGTATATAAAATAGATATAAATTCTATCCATCCCTTTTCTAACCACTTTATCGAATACACAGTCACAAGGACCTCAGAGCCTATCTACAACCTATCTCAGCAAGTAATGTGCGCAAAGCAGGATACACACTGTATGGGATAACAGTCCACTCCAGGGCACACACAGACACAAACACATTCACACCAGGACCAGTTTTCCCAGAAGCCAATTAACCTACCAGTATCTCTTTGATCTGTGGGAGGAAACCCACATAAACACTGGGAGAACATACAAATTCCATGCAGATAGCACCCCGGGATTCGAACCCAAGCCCCATTGTTGCAAGGCAGAAATGCTTCCAATGTTCTACTGTGCAGCCCTACACAGAAGATGATAATCAAAATTATATTGACACCTGCCATAAAATTCAGTTTATGGCATTTTTTTCTGCATTTTCCCATCAGTTTTAATTATTTCACTGATACAAGCTCACTGATACAAGCTGTTCTCACTCTCCGCTCTCATTCTCATCAAGCTCACTGTACAACATTTCATTGAACAATTAGAAGACAGGTAAAACCAGCGCTTCAGTCTGCAAACCTGTTGCTCCTCATCCTGACTGAAGTAATTTTGGATTCTGTCTGGTGGTGCTCTTACTGTATGTCAACTGTCACACTCAAGGGAGTATCTGAAGAAAATATGAAAGAGGCTGTGTATCCCCATATACAGTATATCGGTAAAGAAACAATCTCAGTACATAAGGGATGGAAGAAAGTTAACAGCCTTGAAGGTCTTGGCTTGGTACAACACTAAATATGCATTTTATCTCAGGTAAGGTGTATAAAGTTTAGTAATTAAGTGCATACATTGCCCTTATCAGCCTAAGTACATACTAATTTGCAAGGCGGCCTCCTTTGAACAGTTTGGCCCGGTTTGCTGTTGAGGCTGTACTCATCGATAACAATTGGCAGTTTTCAAAATGTAGCACAAGCTGAGTCTGCTACATAGGAGTTCACATACTGTACACAAGGACAACAAACGCATTTTTTAAGTACGGCTGAAATGCTAACGCCAAAACAGATTTAACTTTCGATTTTTGTATAAATATAATAAAAAATATGTAGTGTAGAAATAAAAACTTTAAAGGATATTAACTTTTCTGCATTGTAAATCGTCGCTATTTGTCCATAGTATATGTGGAAAAAAATGTTTTGCAAACGCAAACAGAATTTATATACCCACATTATCTCAGGGAAAACAGAGCTGAAATCTGGTAAATAATAAAAATATATGGTTCATATCTGATGGACGAAAACAATTAAAGATAAAAGTCTATCGTGGAACCTTAAAAGTTAAATTTAGGACCAATGATAATCTGGTTTGGTTGTCTGTAACTGAATTACTTGCATTTCAATGCATTTCAACAAGAAAATGTAAATGAAAAGTGAATTAAGAAACTCGTAGTTAAAAAAAAAGTTAAACAATTCCTTTATTGATAGAAATGAACGTGATTACGGTATACCAATGCGAACACTACTCAAGACTAATTTACTATACAAGCAATAATTTACAGCCGAATAGTAGCTCCTGCCAGAGCCAGCGGAGAAAAAAAAGGTGATGCAATCCAAGGAGGAGGTCCGAGACTGTGTTTCCTTTTCCCAGAGGCAAACATGAAAATTCCTGAGATCAGATCGGCACTCGGCTGCCCAATAATATTGTAGGATTGTGGAGCCCTGCCCTACGACTGGGCTGGGAGGAAATCCCCCCTCCCATTTACACTTGTGTTGGGGAGTCGGAGTTACTGGTTGAGAAAGCAGGCGGTGGACGTTACCGGAATTATTCAGTAAAAGGGGGAAAAAAGTAAGATTTATGCTTCATTGCAACTGCAATTTATTATGCATTTGTTGCACGTATGATTAGGTATTGTAAAATGGGTTGGTCTTATCTACAAATTGTATCTTAAGTTTTTTTTTTTCTTTCCGTTGTCAATAAGAACAGAAAGTACGTCTGCAGCTGTTGTCTTCTTTTCCCAAAGATCGGATGTAAAACGGTTTGTGTAGCGCCAAGACACTAATTTGCTTTGAACCGTGTTAGAATAATTAAAGAGACATTTTCTAAGGAAGAATTTTGCATTGTTTATTTTTTTAACAATGAGGGATATGTACCTGGATGCAACTGGTACAAACGGTGCGAGGTTTTTTTAATTTGCAATAAAGTATAAGTACACGCGGTAATTAGGGTGCACTGCGTTATTAGTAGCGTTCACATCTTTTATCAACCAAAATTTCTTAGACGTTGTGCCAAATTTGCTCCTCTCATTTGGATACTTTAAAAGCGCATTATGTTTTGGTTTCTAAGGTGTAACTGCAGAGAGCTGGGTCTGGAGCTGTTAGGGGTGTGCCACATTGTACTCCCAATCTCAGTCTCTGTTACAGCACTGCTTCCCATTTTAAGCGAGACGTTGACAGTCGAAAAAAGATTGAGTTTTTACAGCGTGCAGTACTTTTACAGCAATTATCTTTGTAGCAGAAGGAGCTTGGTTTAGGTGCAGTTTGGATACATTCAGTTCAGAAGCAAACTGAGCCAAGAAACGACACAGTTCGTGTGTTTGACCTAGCTGAGGCAGCGTGGTCTGTTAGTTGGATATCCCTTTCCGAACGTGTTTTGGGATTTTAGGAAAACACATTTAAAAGCCTCAGGCTAAAAGATGTGTAACGCTGTTAGTCTGAAATAAAGATGTTCACAAATTTTGAAAACTTTAATCTTATTTTATACGCATTTGTTTCAGAGGTTTAAGAAGAACTTGTCAGGCTCCAGGCTTCAATCGGAATAGATTATGTATGTCCTTAGTTATATTTTACATGAAGAGGTACTGTACTTCATTCAGAGTACTAATTCAGTCTGAAATATAAGTATGTTTCCTTGCATTGTTACTAGTGTACTGAATCGTCGTTTAAAGGGCTTGTATATCACGAGTAACATAAACGCCAGCGTTGTTACGATGAACCAGTAAAGGTTTATTCCGTAGTTAGAAGAAAAGAAACACACCGTTTCGGCTGTGGAGCCTTTTACGGGTGTGTCGGTCTCCACCAAACGTTGTTTCTTCTCTTTTCAGCATGGAATAAACCTTTACCTGTTCCTATACAGCCTACGCATGCTGACTCAGCTACCAACTCGATCTACAAGAATTAGTTGGATTCTTGATAGTCAGGTATTGATAACCTCAAGGAACACATTTCTTTGTAACAGGCGGCCTTAACAGCTGTCTCTGGACAAGAGCACCTTTGTCCAGCAAGCTCGGGAAAGTGATATGGTTTCTCATAGGTGGTCATCACTAGTATACTCATTTTCTGTGCATTATCGGGTTTATGATATTTGATTTTTTTAATGAAAATATCCTTCTAATAGTAAGCAGTGATAGCTTAGGAAACTAAACAACCTTTCAGATCAAAGAGTATAGCCATCTGGTAATTGTCATACACTTAGTTACTTAGTTTTTTCTTTCAATTGCGTGAGGAATTAGGATTTCAATCTTCAGAGTCTGTGGATGCCCCAGTGTGACATCGCACTGTACATCCTTGTTGGAAAGTGCATCTGAATAGAAGCAGGTCCTAACTGGTATGTCAAAAATAAGAAGTGTACTTGGGGGGTATTAAACGCAAATAAACATTACAGAATGTGGTTCTTTTATGGGTTTTTTCCTGGCATGATGCCAGAATAAAAGACTGAGTGGAAGTTCTGTACAAGATCTTCAGAGCCATGTATTTGTAAACTTTGTTGGAGTCCTGTCCTGTTTGCCAGTAGGCCTTTGTTTTGAAGTGACAAAGTCTTAAAGATGGATTTCCACTGGCTTCAGTGCTCTAGCAGGGCTAAGAATTCTTTTCTATTCTCTAAAATTCACTTAGGAATGGCTAAAATCTGCTGTCAAGAAAACTGATTCCAGTGTTACATTATCCATGAAATAGTCAGCCAAAATATTAACATTTGTATATAGGTGTCTGGGACCATTGTACTGTTTCATAGTCAAATCTAAATGCTTCCATTTGGTTGAATGTTTATAAGGCAAGTTCAGATCCTGGTGTCAAGTAATATGTTAGGTTTTGCTAAAAGAATAGACACAATTTAGTTTTGATAACCATTGTATTAACCGTTTCACCTCTTTGCTGTGGTTAGGCAAGGATGGCCAGATTGTATATTTAACAACTACATCCATATTTTGGAGCTTAAAAATGATATTTTTTTTAATATTGTCAGCAAAATGGACAATGCCACTCTGAATTTCTCTTAGGAGTTTTCAGAAGAAAATTAGCCCTTGTCCTGGCATAATACTAAATACAGCCGAATATACCACTTTGGGTGTGGTACTGACATGACTATAAATGAGTTCTGTACATGTTTTTTTAAATGCCCCAGGCATGGGTGTGGCCATGTTTTTTTTCCCCTGCCGCTTCTACATTTAAAGGACTTCTCTGTGATGTGACTGATGTGATCTTCTAGGTGTGTGGCTTTTAGTGAGCAGAAGGAATTGTATCTGAAGCTCTGCAGCCTCTTCTACAGCAAACAATAACGAATAGCCCTGCAGTTCCAGCTTCCATAAGTAACATTACAGTAATTTGTGGAAGCAGATGTGTTTTATGACCTTGGCATTCAAATGGAAGGTTCAACGTGCTATGAATCAAACAAGCCCAGTAAATCCACCTTTAAGGGTACTTGGCTGGATTCCAAAACATTCAGTGTTGCTCTTTCCGAGTGGTGTTCTAACTTTTCAGGTATAAGGTATGTCATTTTTCATTCCATGGTGGATATATAGTGAAGTTTTTTCAAATTAAATGTATGGAGTCTTTCTGTTATATGTAAAGGTACATTCCTTTGTACTACATAATCTTTAATTTTTTTTCTTACAGGAGTTTTAAGTTTTCTGTCTACAATTGTTAGTTTTTAAAATAAATGGGCACAAATTATGTAGAGCAGCCTTCAATATTCTGTGTTGCATTTTACAAATGGCTTCTCGGAAGATTGAAGAGATGTGGACTGGTTTGAGCTAATGCGCTTGCCTAATGAATAATTGAACTACACTATACTCTGCCATTGCCACATCCTGAGGCATGCGGCATTCCTAAGATTTTTCTACCCAAACATGTTTTTGTTTTCTGAGATGATGAACCTATTTTTATAACTTGTATTAACTGTTCACTCCTAGGTTGAAGAAGGCTGGTGTGCAAGTATTCATTACAGCTCATTGCTTAATGAATTAAATTAGTTTATTACAAGCTTATTTCGGTCCAAATTTGCCATTTCTCTCAGCTCATCAGTCGCTGCTGTGACTGTGAAAACCTGTGACTACTCCAGCTGTCCAGGAGAGCTGTGTTGTAGAAAGATGATAACTTGTTGAAATGACTGGCAAAAACATTTGGTGGTTATCGTCATACAAAGTTTTATTTAATTTTAATGAATTGATTTTTTTCCTAAGACAAATTCAAAAAAGAAATGTTTGGTGTGCTTTCTGTATAATCTCTTAATACCTTTAAATCTTTATATGCACCCAGTTGGCAACAGGAAAGATAGTTAAGCTTGCTGCATATTGTTTTACAAACAAAACTCTAAAGAGAGTACTCTAAAGTTGATCCTGTTAGACTTGATAAATTGTCAGTTTGGCTCTTGTAATTTTGAGACTTTTTCATACCATGACAAATGTATTTCATGTTGAGTATGTCGAGGTCAAGCTTTAAATAAAGTTAAGCACCTCAGCTGTGCACCAAACTTTGAAAAAGAGACTTGAGCCTAAACAATAAGTGCGTCCTTTATACGGTATGAATTTTCAGCAAAGTTTTTGTTGTCCTGCTATATTGTTATTCAGATAACAGTACCTGTACGTATACTATATTGAGGGCACAAGAAGCATTATTTCTCTATGCTTAATGCTGCAGAGACTGATCCTAAGAATTTGTCTTGGTAAAGTTAGTGTACTAGTTAGTTAATGCAGGTACCTCAGCAGCTTTTGTGATCTTTTTTATCATAGTCCTCCTGACACTGCAGCTCAGAAAGGTACAGGTATATCGATCTAAACACCCTCGGAAAAGGGTGCTGCTTTAGGTTACGTGTAAAAAGCTGAAGTACAATGGCAGACATTTTCACTCTGTATTAATATTCATTTTCTTTCTCCTAGAGATGAAAACCATGGCTATTTGTTAGGGTGAAGTAGTTTTCAATAAATGTGGAAGAGTCATTGTTGACGTAATTGTATAGTTTATCCACCAATATTTACTAAACTTAAATAATTTTGTGTTAAGTTCTGCAACTGTGTGCATTGTGTCCTGTGCAGTACACTGGAAGGATCTCATATTGAAGGGATTTGAACTGGAATTTAAAACTCATAAAGGGAACTGAAGCGTGCAAGTAATATAAACAATGTAATTACAGCATAAACTCATTATAAAACTACTATGTTGGAGTTAAAAAAAAGTTTGGTGTTAAACAGTTTTTAAATATTTGTATTAACCCAATTAAAATGGTTTCTAAAAGTTAACACTGATCTACCAATTAAAACTGCATGTTGCCTAAATACTATTTTTTTTTTCATAATTAATATTCAGTAGATTTTTCTCTTTAGAGTTTGATTGTGTTTTTCTTTTTATTATGTTTTTAGGGTGGTGTTTAAAAGCAGATTTATTGTAGGGAAATGGTTGCTATTAATATCCAGTACAAATTATCCTAAAGTATAATCATTACTAATACATATGCAGGGAGAAGCTGATGTAATGTTAGTGGCCTGTTATTACCTTACAAAGCCTAGAGATCTTGTGTTCTGGACAAATACTTAGTCATATAATATATCTATAGCATTTTATTAAAGCACTTCAAAAGAGAAACTGTGGTTGTATGCCCTGTTTTTTGTCCAGAAAGGCTAGTTGCTTTTTTTTAGTACAATGTAAAGGAAGTAAAGGGGAAATTCTTAGGATTCCCGATTATTTTTTCTGTCTTGAAAGCATTCTTTTCCTTAAGCATGAATGTATTATGTTCTTGTATAAATTTAGAAGTGTTATGAATTCTCATTTACACTGAGTTCATGTTATGCTCTATATTTTAAATTGATGTGCGGTAATTCAAATGACCATGACTGCAGAACCTGGGTCTTACACAAAAACTAAATGTGGATTTTAGATGCTGTATTAAGAAGTTAAGACATCCTTGTTACATTTTGGCATTGGTATCATGCAACGATTCGTCCAGGAACTCTTTTCTGTAATTATCGAGTTTATTTTGTTGCTCTTCATGTTAGGACCCAATTACTGTATGCGCATGATGTTCTTGGTTTTCTCAGATTAAACTTAATGTGAGACGCATATCTAGACTGGCCAGAAAGGCAGGTATGTGATTGAGCCATACCTAAATACACATTCAATACACATCACTTTGTATATGGTTATTTTTGTTGTTTTAAAACGTCTTTGGGTTAAACCCAGACTTGTCTTTTCCACATCCTGCCACTGTCATTTTGTTTTGGTCTTTGGACCGTTAATGGCATCATAAATTGTGACTGCAGTAGTTATTGTTAATTTACTCCATTAGCAGTACTGTATTAACCCTAAGAGGTGTTGACTCCTAGCTGTCACTAGCAAAAATGCACGATAAAAACATCTGAGATGAGAGACTTTTGAACTTTTATATTTTGACTTTTGACTATTATTTTTTTATTGATAAAGATGACCAGCAACAGTGGTTTGCTGCTGGGAGTTGTAAGATGTTTTAAAGAGTTTTGTAAAAATGTATAATTTTTAGCAGTATGTTTTTCTCATTTGACATTGTTAAATGATGTGAAGTTGTTACTGGTGGGTAAAAATACAATTTTGGAACAAACACTTTTATAGATAAATCAGGGAACGGAGAAAGCAAAAACATTTGTTTTTTAGGAGCAATTACAGCTGGCAGAAATGTGACTCGTGGCTAACAGCGTGAGTGAGAAGCTTTGTGGCTGCTTTTATTGCTTTTGGAAAACGATGAATATCTAAATACATATAATTTTCCCTACAGAAAATCCAAATATAAAAGTACATAATTTTGCTGTTGATAACCAAAGGTTCTGTTCTTTTACTCAGTAAATGTTTATCAATACTAATGATACTAATTCTTATTTTGCTACAATTCTTTATTTTACTTATTTTTTATTACAGTAATCATTTTTGTTCTGTTTGTTGCTGTAAGGGTCTTTGACAGGACCATACCAGGAACAGAACATTTCCAGATATATGCTGTTACTATATCATGAGGTGCTTTTTACCTGTATTGTGTCATCAAACGTTTTTTCTATGTGAATTGCAAAAAGGAGGAGAGTGTACACTATGGGGATAATGAGACTGGTATTGGCTCATGGTCTGTCTGATCTGTCTTTATCCTTATTAGAACTAAGTTTTAAATGATTTTTTTGTCATCTTCCCCCAGCCAGCATCTGGTACATTTTTAGGCTCGAGATACTTCAATTAAGATATTAACGGATTGTTAAATAAGCCACTTGCCATCTGTGCTCATTAAGCATTAAATTCTGGCTTCCCTACTTTTTGGACATCAGCCAACTAACATAATGAGTTATTATCTAAAGTCTGTGTGGGTACAAAAGTAGGTGTGTACAGTAGCCTTCAAATATATTCATATCCCTGATGCAGAATGAACACCTGAAGAAGGCTCCACAGCCAAAATGTTTCTTTTCTTCTCTTTTCAGCATGGAATAAACCTTTACTTATTCCTTTTCAGTATTATAATCCATAACTGAAAATGTATACGTCTTTCTGTATTGTTGTCCTGTGTCTAATAATACTTATTCAGTTGGTAATTGAAGGACTCGCTTGCTAAATTGGTCAAAAACCAGGCTGCTTGATAGAAGCTTTGCAGAGATAGGTTTGGGCCACCCTTGACTGTCATTAATTTAATGGAAGAGAAGAAGTACCTATGGTAAATGACAAGCATGTATCTGACACCCACGAAACAATCAGTTGTAAACACACAGCCTATAATATCTGGGAACTCCTAGGACATCATTTGCAGCCTGCATTTAAAGGTCTATAGTCTGTCTTCGTGGCATCAACATTGCTGGTCTAAGTGGGACGTGGTATGTGATTATGCTCTTCCTTAGGCTAGTCCTCATCCCAGCACCCCTCCTTTGTCTGTTGCCTTTTGTTGCAGTCAGCCCCTTAATTCAGTTTTTAAATAAGTTGTGTAGCTATTCTTCAATATGGGTTTGTCTGAGGCTTTGAGACACCCTTAACATATCATAACTACTTTGCCGTTTTCATCTGGTAGCAGCAGCTAACTGAGAATTTAGATGTTGAGATATTATTTAGCCGTCATCCATTAGGATGCAACTAGGTGGAGCTGCTACTAGGCGTGGAGCCCTAGAGCCCTTTATTTTTACCTAATGTTTATCCAGACTACAGTGTGCAAACTCTTTTGTCAGAGTATCTTATGAGATTTACCATTTTCTTTTAGTTTGTGTTGAATACTAAGTGCTTACGAAATTGAGCATATAAATACTGTAAGATGCCTCAATAAATCCACATTGTTGTGTTCAGACAGATGTATTGTCTTAATGACGCTCACAGCTAAAAGCCCTGCAGCAGTCTTTCCAGCAGCTGTATTGACAGCACCGTAATAGTATTGTGAGAAAAGAAACTGTCAGAAGTTTAAGTGCATCACATAAAACATTTGAACGATCGAGGCATAGTCGATATTGTATGTGTGAACATATAATATGTATTTAACTAATTAAAAAGACACTGAGGCAG